TTCTGTACCGTCGCATTTGTGGTTATTTCACTGCGTGAATTTCACACCACTGCAGACGCAAGACGGGGGCACCCGTGCCTCCACGCGCAGCACCCCCACTCGGTGACGGGCGGGAACAGTTTGCTGATATGAGGAATATTCGTTGCACGCTTGACAATCTCAAGATGCTCCGTGCAAAGCAGAGAGGAGAGTGTCACAGGTGAGGGAAGCCACTCCCTGCAGGGACTCGGGGACGCTGCACACAGGGGTGGCATCGGAGCAGAACCCTGGCGGCGGGTCGGAGCTGAACCTGCCGGGTGGGCTGAGGCGACCAGGGAAGGGGTCCGGGGGAGACCAGGGCACGAGTGAAGGCAAGAAGGGGCCAGCCTGGAGCACCCACGATGATAAGTCAGAGAGACCACGGGGCGGGCGCGGGTGGCGGCGTTGGTGGGCCGGGCAGAGAGGGCAGAGGGTGGAGGGCACAGTCCCCTCTGCCGCCCCTCAGAGAACAAGGTGACGGCGCAGAAAGGGAGGACCTGGTGCCGCCGAGAGAACACACAGGAGCAGGTGCTGTGAGCGCCCGCTGGTCTGGGCCGGAAGCTGGAAAATGCTCCCGCCTGGGACTTGCGAGCTGGAGTCGCCCCGTCCCGGCACCCCCGCCCTGCGCAGGACGGACCTGGTCCCTCACGAGCTCGGGTCCCTCCCAGGCCCCCTGGGCCCCACGTGTCACAGCCGCCGCCTGGACTCCGAGGGAAGACAGCCCAGAGCCTGCATCTCGACGGCTACGGCCGCGTCCCGCTAAACAGCCCCCTCTAGCGAGTTCCACCCTTGCCGATCGCCCGGCACAGCCGCAGCTAACTCACAACAGCCGCCGAGCCGGGTCCCCTCAACTCAGACGTGAGAGTCTGAGCCCTTTTCCTCAAAGTCTCTACTGCTCTCGCTGCGGTGGCTTAAAATCCCCAGTTACAAGTGTTCAGCCGAAGCAGGTACAAGCAAAAGACGGGAAGGTTTTATTCTCTGGAAATGGGTTCTGGCTGGTCGGACGACGTCTCGCGGCTCTCTGATCTCGGCAGAAATGGAGCAGAAACCCCCTGCCCCCGCTCTGGCCACCCAGCTTGGCCCGTGCCGCCCTCCTGCCTCTGCCCGGCGTTGCCCGTCCCGCTCCCTGACCCCACCTGCCTCTCCACAGAGTCCTGGGCCCGTCTGGAAGGGAGCTGGGATTGGGCACTGCACACACGCGG